TATTCAGAAATAAGTCAAATTAAATTCAGTGGGACTTACTCTCGGGTAGATGTGTGTATAGAGTTGTGGCCTAACCTAATAAAAAAAGACATCTGGTAATGGAAAACATTGAGAAGGTAATTAATCAAAATGAGTGCTCTGACAGAAATTAATATTAATTTCCCAATCATTACCAACCTGTATATTTAAGAAAAAAAAATAGATGAGTGATGGAGAAGTATAATAATGTCCACATAAAACAAAAGGCGAGAATTAGCTCAAAGCAGCATAAAAATAATTCAGGCCAACCTTGTATATGACTTTTCATGATACTAAAGGTTGGTGGACTAGTTTAAAACCTCTCATATGTATTGTTGTGCTAATAAAGCATGTTTATAGTAAGACTCCCTTAGGTGCTCTTCAATTAAGGAAGTAAGAAAATCCCCAGAATAAATTTGGAAAATATAGTGCTATAGTGTTTGTGGGTGCCAGACCTCTCTAAATTCCTGGATCCAGTAAGCGTTAGAATTTCATCAAGGCTTGGAGTGTTAAGATGAGTGCTAGACACTTCCTATTCCTGAATTTGGCAAGTGTTAGAAGCTAATCAAGTCAGGCTAACCTCCCGGGTGATGGACCAGTAACAGGACAAAGCATGAAGGGCTTGAGCAAGACAGCAAGTGGATGGGAGTTATTTGTTCAAGAAGGAAGGCAGCAGACAGAAGTAACAGAAGCAGAGGAATGTTTGATGTCTGTTTGAATCCAAGGCTGTGGTTATGGGAGAAGCAAGACCCCTCCTCTCCATCATAGGCTCAGGTTGTATTTATGCGTAAATTAACCATATATCATAAAGACACTGCAGTCTCCTCTGTGCCTTGTGCCCAAAGGAAACACAAACTATTCCTGTGGAATCTTGCGGAGCTCGGAGATTGGGGTGGCATGCAACAGTAGTTAACAGGTGGCGTTCAACATCAAAACAGCACAAGAATTGTAGCTTGCCAGACATAGCAATCCCTCCTCTCCTCTTCCGTGTGATGTCTGGGAGTTCTCCTGGACCCCCCAAAAAAACCAATTTTAGGGGCTCAGGGGGAGAGAGGAGGGGAAAGTCCTTACTGACGGCAGTCATGAGGTGAATCCCACACATGGTTTCTATACTGAAGGCTTGGTATTTGTATAAGAAAAGCATGAGCCCACAATAATGAGTGTCTTGTATGAGCTGTGTTTTTAAACTTACAAAGTATACGGTCGATTTTTACTATTGGCAGGAAGGTTCAGATCTTGCTGATGAAAGCAATGTACCAATATCTTATAAATAAAATTAAAACTTGATTTGATTTGAGCATGCCCATTTAAAACTCGCTTCATAAAGATTTTGAGGACAAAGCATATATGGTCCGATCAGATATATATTGAGGAAATAACAGAAGTGAAAGATGAGAACCGTAAATGTCAGTATTATATGAAATGTCACTGGAAATTGAAAGTAATGGAATGTATCTGATATAGAAAGATGAAGGCAAGATATGTGGTGCAATCATATGTCTGCTTATGTGGAAATAAGCCAAGCTATATTCACCAGAGCTTATTCCTAAATAAGTATGCAAAGGAACGCATAATAGAAAATTCTCAGCGGTAGAACAGACCATTGCTGTGTATGGAAATATTTGAGAATTGCTTGGGCACTTCGTGTCTGTTGCTATTTTTGTGGGAGATTTAATGTATCGCACCGGCAAATTCAGGTTGTACAGTCGACTCGCAACTTACGCATGTTTAACATATTTTCTCCAAATTCAATCGCCTCTGAGAGTAGGTTTAACTCTCAAGATTCCCTCAGGAATCGACAACCCTCCAGTCCACTCTACTGGAATTTGGTTGTCAAAGGCCACACGAATAACCTTTTTGTTACCTAACCTAAAATTAGTAACACAATCGAAAGAGCGAGAATTGATGCCAAAACAGTAATTATTCAGCTAATAATAAATAGATGCCATGACTGTTATAAAACTCGCTGTGTGCAGCCCTCCTGTTTGAGCAGCTCTCTTTACAGCAGAGGGCTGGAGGGTTAGCAGCTGGAGACTAGCTTCAGTTGCATGTGTACAAATTTATTAGCAGCATTAAAATTCAGTGAATCATACTGAATCACATCTTCATAGTTTTCAGAGCAAAATTAGCATATAATTTCTCCAGCCGCCATTTATAGCCAATTTAGATGATAATATTTTGACATCAAATCTAACCATTTCTCCTCTGCTCGTTGACATTTAATACATCCCATCGATTTCACTAGAACAGGTTTCCAGGTGTGCTTAGAGAATCCTGCCCATGCAAAATATTTACCTCAGCCCTCCCACTCTTAAGCTCAACTGAAGAAATATTGTGGGTGGGAGAAATGGTTGAAACAGCACGAGAGAATGGGGACGTGTCTCTAGATGTCTTGGGGTAGATGTAGGATAAAAATAAGCAAGGCCCCAAAATAAATGTGTAATTTTGCCTACTCCAACAAACATTGAAATAGCAACCACACATTCTATCATTGGCTTGGGTCCAATGGTAGAGCTACTAAGAGCAGACCCAATGGAACTTGGACACCATAATTTCAATGGGTCTACTCTGAGTACAACTTTGTTGGGTACTGTCATGGGTTGGCTGAGTCCGGATGATGCCAACTCATGACAGATGCATCCCAGCGTTTCTTCTGTAGGATAAGAACATCAATGTAATGTTGTCACGGACTGGCTGGAGACAGAGGAGTGGCAGGAGGTACCAGCAAGGAAGCCCCCGAAGGAAGAAGGCTCAGAGCCAGGGGAATGGTGGTGGAACAATGAGGGATGGTCAGAGGAAGACGAGGGAGCTGGAAAAAAATGGTGTCAAGTCTTGGGCAAGCTCTCAGTTCTTTGGATCCAGCCCAAGATTTCTAAGCATTCGAGATGGACTCTCAAATTGGTCCATGGGTGACATTCAAGTCTAAAGAAGCTATGATGTGCCTCTCTTTGAATTGGAAATTGTTACCGTTTAATTTATGAATCACCTTTCCTATTGATTTCAAGGCAATTTACAACCATACAATGAAACAGCAGAAATAAACACCCTAGGACACATTTTCCATCCAGCTGGAAGAGCTTGTTGAAACAAGAACTTATTCCATAGATTCTGGGAACTACAAACAATGGATGCCAATAATTTCTCAACACACAAACACACACACACACACCCCAGCAGGAGAACCACAATTTCCTCATGCTAGATTTGGTCACTGTGGTTTGCTAAGGGTTTCTGGGAATTTCAGCTGTTTCTTTGAGGAAATGAATAATAATAATAACAACAACAATTATAATAATAATTTATTATTTGTACCCCGCCCATCTGGCTGGGTCTCCCCAGCCACTCCGGGCGGCTTCAAGATTTAAAATACATTAAAATGTCACACATTAAAAACTTCCCTGAACAGGGCTGCCTTCAGATGCCTTCTGAATTTCAGGTAGTTGTTTATCTCTTTGACATCTGATGGGAGGGCGTTCCACAGGGTAGGCGCCACTACCGAGAAGGCCCTCTGCCTGGTTCCCTGTAACCTCACTTCTCACAGTGAGGGAACCACCAGAAGGCCCTCGGCGCTGAACCTCAGCTTCCGGGCAGAATGATGGGGGTGGAGACTCTCCTTCAGGTATACTGGGCCAAGGCTGTGAATGTGTTTTGAATGTGCTTTAAACATACAGTGTGCACACAGCCCCAAAGAGAACCCTTCTCTCTATCTTGCTAGTTTACTTTGTGACGAGAGGGTTGTTGTTTGCTTGTTTCAATGCAGAACGGAATCCCAACACTTGTACTTTGATGCACTCCTGTCTAGCAACAGACGCGAGACATTACACAAATCTGCTGATCATGTAGCTGAGCCCTCAGCAGATATGATGGGATGTATTGCCAGTTCAGTGGGGAAGAGATTATTTGGTGAGGTTTTCTGATGCTGAGATAGGCAGTCCTTATTATTCATCCACAGGGTAGTGGTGTTAAAGACGCCTTAAATACATGAAAGGAAAACGCACTTTCCCCAGCAGCCACGTTTACACATTTGCAATATTCATTATCCACCCTTTTGTCCTGTAATGGCAAAACTGTCACCTCCCACTTCCTTCTCCAGGCACTTCTGACACATCCGTCAGCTGCCCACAGCAAGTTCATTAGAAAATGCCTTTTGACAGGAGTGGCAGTTCTTGACCCAGAGGTATGAAAGCTGTTAGGATGATCAGCATAAGGACAGCCTGTGGGGCAAATGCTGAGGTAATAACAGACATCGGGCTTTACATAATATTATCCAAGACATTCTTAAAGGGGTTGTTAATACTCCTTCAGCCACAGTGCTGGTTGACATTTTAATTTCACAGGGTTTAGAAAAACTGTCTTTGCATTCTGCAAAAAACCAAAACCAAAACCAAACCCCTCTTTTGGGGCATTCCTATTCCCAGATCAACATTCGCTGTATTTTCACTTGCTAATAAGCACTTCCATAGTTCATTGCAAGTAGAGTAGATGACAGTTTTATCTGAGCTTTCCTTACGTCACTGATTTGAGAGGCAGCAAGGCAGCAACTTGTGACTTTATTTACTTTTTTTTCAAAAACAGGGTGCGGGGAGGGGGGGAGGAATATCAGTTTAAAAGACGAAAAGAGAGAGAGGAAAGAAACGAATGTGTTGAATAATAATAGTAGGCATTACTATTATTACTTTGATACATTTATTTATTTTAAATTGTTTATTAAGCCTTAGGTGCTGTACAATAATTTAAGTTTAAAAGGAACAAACACCCTCAGGCTGACAATTCCTCTTACTAATAAATATATGACTTTGAAACAAGGGCTCAGTGGAATCAAATAGGAAAGGCAAGTAAAAACAAAACTGTACTGAAATTGTATATATTTTTGTGGGCGATTGCACTTTAGAAATCACACTGAGGTTGATTCTCACGGAGATGATTCTTTTCCATCACAGTAACTTTATTAGTTAGTCTGGGTTGCCTAGTCTGCAGAGGGAAGGGCTGTAGCTCACTGGTAGAGTACCTGCCTTGCATTCAGAAGGTTGCAGGTTCAATCCCTGGCATCCCCAGTTAGGGCTGAGAAGGGCCTTGAGCAGGGTTTCCCAAAGCTGAGTCTCCAGCTGTCTTTGGACTACAGTTCCTATCATCCCTGACCACTGGTCCTGCTAGCTAGGGATGATGGGAGTTGTAGTCCAAAAACAGCTGGAGACCCAACTTTGGGAAACTCTGCCCTAGAGAGTCACTGCCTCTCAGTGCGGGCAACATTGAACTAGATAGATCCAATGGTCTGACTCTGTATTCTTATGGAGGTGGTTAAGTAGTCAGTTCACACATGCAGGATCATCAGTTGGGGAAAGCAGCATCAGGTGGTGACGTCTGCCTAGGACCCACGTACCTACAGGACCACCTCTCCTGGTATGCCCCGCAGAGGACCTTAAGGTCCACAAATGACAACGCTTTGGAGGTCCCAAGTCGCAAGGTGGTTAGATTGGTCTCGACTAGGGCCAGGGCCTTTTCAGTACTGGCCCCGACTTGGTGGAATGCTCTGTCACAAGAGACTAGGGCCCTGCGGGACTTGACATCTTTCTGCAGGGTCTGCAAGACAGAGCTGTTCCGCCTGGCCTTTGGTTTGGACTCAGTCTGACCGTTATGTTTTCCCTCCCCTTATGCTTTTAATCCATGGGCCACTTTTAAAATGAGGCTGTATTTTAACAAACCCCCCCATTATATTTTTAGTGTAATTTTACTGGTGTTAGCCGCCCTGAACCCGGCTCTGGCCGGGGAGGGCGGGGTATAAATAAAATTATTATTATTATTATTATTATTATTATTATTATTATTATTATATGAACCAGACACTGCACAAGTACCACGGACAGCACTCTCATGCCATTCCACATTGCTAGGGTCAATGAGCCTTCTGTCAGCACCCAGATTCAGCCGACTGATGGCAACAGGAGAGAATTAAACATGTTCTTAATAGAGCAATCCAAAGGGAGAGTGGGTGGTGAACCCAAGGCAGAGGACTAGCCAAAGTCATGTTGGCCTCATGTGGCAGCGGAGAATGCATGTCCTCTCCCTGCCCTTTGCTTGGTGTGTGTTATTGCATCTTCCTTCCCATTGTTCCCAATGGCATGGAAAAGGGCAGCTCTGGGGTGGCCCCTGTTCTGGGTGCGTTTCAGGGAACAGGAGAGCTCAATCCACCTAACAGAACCCCACCAATGGTGGAGGAGAGGCCACCATGGAAACATCCACAACAGCAACAAAGAGACCTCCACGAACGAGGGAGATCCACAAAGTCCAATGGGTTTTTTGGGGGTTGCCCTTCTGGGCTTTGTAGGAGCCACTAAATTCTGTGAGGTGTCAAAGCACTTATTCTTTTGTTTGACTGTCCCCTTAGCGTGTGTAAGAATGCATAACAGCAAATGTTTCAAATGATGCTATAAGGGCTGTTTTGCTTTTGTAGGGATGTCCTTAGGAGAGCAGAAGCACATCTAAGCAAGTTCGGAATTATGACCAATGCATTTTATTATTAAATATTTACACTGAACATTTTCAGGCTTTAGACGTCTAACTGCCATCAGCGTAATAGCATTGCGGCTATTCAGGGCATATTTGAAGTACCCATTTGGAGTAGCTAAAGCACATCTCCAGCAGATTATTAACATTTAATTGTTGCATTCCATCCTCTTGTCTTGTCTTAACATCATGGATCATGGGGCCGGGGGGAAGAACCGCCAGGTATTGTTAGAATTGTGATGGCCTTTGGAAATAAATCATTCAAAAGCAAAGGAAATCTTTTACTGAAAATAGCAATAATGGTGACTAAGTGAGCTCATTCTACTTACCTGTCATGCTGTTTGCTAAATGCATGCATTTAAAAAGAAGGAAACGAAAAGCTAAGACCATCATAAATCTTCAACTGCCCAGCTAGTTAACAGGCGCTCTCTCTTACAAAAAAGTGTGTTCAATGTACAACATTTAGTCACATTATCCAGACTTAAAACAGGATGCGTGGATTATTCTTAACCTTTTAAGTGATGTTTTAAAATATGTACCCAAATGGGAGCCCCGTTCAGATGGCCTTTGTTTCACATATTCCCATGCACTAAATACGTAATAAAATACAAACTAACGAATAACCACCCCCAACCCCCCACATTTAAAAGGCCATAGGATGTTAACCAAAGACCTGGCTATAGAGAAACATCTTCACCCAACAACAAAAATAATGTAATGAAGGTGTCAGGCAAGCCTCCCTGGGGTAAGCATTCAACAAATGGGCTGCCATTGCTGAAAATTCCCCCCAAGTTGGTTCATGTTACTGGAAAGCAGATGTGTTCAATAGTAGACCCACTGAAAGTTATGGACTTTTAGTCAAGTTCATTAATTTCAGCAGGATTAGTATTGGGTATAACCCATAGACTAGTCTGGAGGAACAAGGAAAGAAAATTCCCTATGTGGACAAATGAACAAATGACTTCTCCAGACAAGCTAGAAAGCAGAATCACACCACTACAGCCGAGTTAACTGAATCTGCAGAAATGGGATACCAGGATCCCTTTCACAGAGAGGCGAAAAGAAGACCAATTTTTCTGACATGTATATGTAAAAAAGCGCCACAGACATGGAGGCACTGCATGGCATCTGATGCACTGTTTCTGCTATGAAAATGCTTCTTCTGTTGCTGCTTTTAAATAGGTATATATATGCTCAGACATTTTTAACAAGTCAGAATAAAGCATGCAAGTCTCCTGCCCATAGCACTGTGGCTCAACCGCTTGTCATGTTGTGCTAATACATTCTTGTGCATGATAAAATCCCAGAAGAGCGTTTAGATGGGAGCTATCATAAAAACGAAATGGTTGAGAGAGGCTCAGAAAGTGGCAGAGACGGAGGGCAGGAAGGCAAAAGTGTCTGAAGGGATTCCAGAAATAGTTATTTGGAGCAGTCGTTTGTATTACTGAGACGGGTCTGGAGGAAAGCAAGTCATCCGCCGGGGAACAAGTTCAGTTCTTCTACATCTCGATCCTGATTCCTGCAACATTCTGCTACAAAACCAGAGGCCCGTTCAAGACATCGTCCTTCCCAGCAATACTGAGCCTGTCAGTCTGGAAGTGAAACACGGCCAACCCAAACAAGGCGCTGGGTTCTGTACTCTTGAAGGACTTGCTAGGAGAGATGTCCTTGAATTTTGTAAGTGTTGAGTTTTCATTCTAATGGGGCTAAATTCGCTTGACCGCAAACATCAGGGACAAGTTGCCAAGTCAAGGCCACACTCTTAGTGATTGCTTGATATTTAGAGGAACTTACTGCTGCGACCACTAAAAGAAATGAGTTGGGCTGAATTTTAGCAAACACAGCAACTCCAACTGAGCAACCAATTTCTATGTGGGATCTGTTTTCCCCCTTTGAAGTGCATTACGGCAGCCATTCACATTCTTTATTATTGTTATAAGAATTTTAAGGTCATATATAAAAGATAAATGTTCATAGCTGTATATATAAACCACATGTCTGAAACCCCACAGAAAAAGTCCTGAAACCAGTTTGTCCCTCCCAAATTGACCTCAAATATTTCTCTGCAAGGCTGAAGGAAAATGGAAAAGCCTCCCCATTGTCTTTTCGTTCACAAATCCTGTCTTAAGGGTATGTCTGTGTATGAATGGGGTGAGCCTGTGACCTGGCTCAGGAACAAAGTATTTATCATTACAAAAGACTGGCCAGGCTCCCCAGGTAAACCAATCAAGTGACCATTAACAGGTAATCTGCCAGAGAGGAGATAAACAACACACTCAGATTTCTGTTGTAGACCGCCTTTTCTGTGATGTAGGTATGCTGTATCTGGGGGGTGGTCTTGGGCTACACCCCTTCTGTGATGTATGTATGATGTTTCTGGGGTTGGTCTTGGACGGGCAATTTAAAATGTCTATATAAGGGTGGGCACACCTTTGTTCTGGGTCCTCCTGAGGGTGAGGGGAGCACCCTGTTGCAACAGCTTTAATAAAGATCAGGCTTACTAGCTGCTTTGCTTCTCAATATTCTCTGGTTGGCCTCTGTTATTTTCTCCAACGATAGGGAACCCACTTAAGGACTCTATACAGACTCTTGGATACCTTATAAGTGAAGAAGGGCAGATTTTGTTTACAACATTATCTCCTCCTTGTTGCCTTTCAAATCCTGGTTGCTAGCTAGCTGGCCATTTGCATTGTAGATGTGCCTGGTTAGGTGGAGCCGTTGGTTAAGCTAAATGGTGGCAGCCTAAGAGCTTCATAAAGAAAACTGAGGTCATTCTGCACAAGTTTCGTTCAGCGTTCTCATCCCTCATCCTCAACAACATGTTTTTCATTAATTTCTCATACAGAAGAGGAAACAGTGCAGGCCCTTTTTGCCGTTGAGAAGGAAGGAAAGTTTATGTTTTTATTTAAAACACGGATGTTACTGTCAGGGAACTGACATCAGAGCTAGAGGTGGAGGGAAGGCTCTCTAATGCTGCTGGAGAAGGGCCCAGGAGGGAGAGAGGCAGCTCAGCAGATGGGGAAGCAATTCAGTGCAACACCAGGAATAAGGAGGGGCAGATGGGGGAATCGGCGAGAGGGCTCCAGGACTCTTCACCGGACACCAGCAGGGAGAGCACTGGTCCTCCGCTACCCACGCCCTCCCTGCGCAGAAGACTTCCGCGCAGAGAAAGTAGGAGGAGACTGGGTGTCAAACAACTTTTATGTTGGAAAAGGTTTAAGAAACGCCCACTGACGGATTCTGCTAGCGACTGAGGCAGCCACGAATTGAAGGGCTGTCCAGACAGAAAGGTTTAACAAGGCAACATAGCCAGGAGAGGCGGCAACTTATGCACGAGCAACCCCATACCATTATAGTTACTGAACTCTTCAAACATTTCCTTTTTTATATTGAGCAAGTAGCTTTTTCTTTTCTTCAAAAAAGAGAAAGATGCAGAATTTGTGAGGCCACACCCATATCCTGTCTTGTCTCTCCGCTTTCTTGCCATTTAGACTAGTCCTCATCCATCAGTTCCCATCTGGGTTGTCTGCCTGGGTATTTATTCTATTTT